GAGGTAGGTATAAACCAAAAAATTCCGTCATTGAGTTGATCTCGATTTGTAGTGAACCCCATTGGGTTTCCAAGGTAGTAAACGTTTAAAGAAGTAAACTGCTCCATCTGCCTTCCGTGGAGCAGAAATTTTGAACCGCCAGTATTCTGGTTAGCAGTCAAATGCCTTAGGCACTGCGCCACCAGTGCTCCCAGAGGTAGGTATGGGAGAGCTTAAATAGACTTGCTCAGAACCATACAGCTAAAAAGTGGTGGAGGTGGAATTCTACCCCAGGCAACCAGCACTTTCCATCATTATGTTGTCCTACCTGCTACTATGGGAGATCTGGTGGAATAGTGCCGAAGGCACTTGACTGCTAACCACAAGGTTGGCAGTTCAAACCCACCAGCCACTCCTCAGAAGGAAGGTTGGGCAATCTACTTCCGTACTGATACTGCCTCGAAAACTGAAGGAGGGGTTGCTATGAATCAGGAGGTGATTCGACAGCACATAACAACAACAACCTGCTACTGTAGGCCCCTGTGCAGAGTATTGGAGATCCCATGGTGAACACCACAGATGTGATTCCTGCCCTTGAGATGTTTACAGACTAGTAGGAATAATAAACAATACCTTGAGGATGTCTAATAGGGAATCTATTCTCCTTTGGGCTTCATTAAAGCTTCCCCAAGGATATGCCTTTTCAAGTTGACCTAAAGGATGAGGAGAAGTCAGCTAAGAGAAGGAAGGAGAAGAAGGTCAATCCATGCAGGGGATGTTGTTGTTGTTGTTGTTACGTGCCGTCAAGTTGGCCCTGACTCATGAGACCCCTCCTTGGGTTTCCGAGGCAGTTATCACTACGAAGGAGATTGCCCAACCTTCCTCCGAGGAGTGGCTGGTGGGTTTGAACCACCAACCTTCTGGTTAGCAGACAAGTACCTTAGGTACTACACTACGAGAGCTCCTAGTCAGGGGATAGCACATAGAAAATCACCAACATAGGGCTTTGGCAGTCCCAGGAACAGCTGAAGGCCAGGGTGGGTGGAAAGGTAAGCAAAAGAGCTGGAGGAGTAACATGCAAATCTGCAGTTTTCAAAGATCATTCCAGCTGCTGTAGAGGAGAGATCAGCTGAGAGGAGGAAAGCATTTGGGGAAACTAGTCCATAGACTATTGAATCTGAACATGAGATGCTAATTTGGATTAGCTTCTTGATAGTGGGAATGAAAGTGGACAGAAAGATGAAATATTTAGAAGCTAGAATTGGCTGGGCTGGCTTGGGGGAATGAGGGAAAGGTTTTCGGTTTGACCAAGGTTGGATGGTGGCACTGGGGAGCAACTCTGGGGAGAAAGATGGGAGCTCAGGTTTCCTATGAGGTACTCCACTTGGAGCTGTTAAAAAACCAGCTGGCTGTTGGACATACAGCTCTGGAGCTTTGAGGTCATGCTGGTGAAAGAGATCATGTCAGACGATGAGTACCTAGGACACACAGTTCTCTCACTATTAAAGGTCAATAGAGAAGGAAACTGAGTAAAGGGAACTAAAGGCATGGTAAAAAAAATGTAGGAGAAAAGGCAGAGATTGGAATCTGTGAAGGGAGTGTTTCAAGAAGTGAGTGGTTCAGGACCCAATGTGACTGAATTTAGCAGGGACAATTAAATAAGGAAAAGGCTGTTGTGATCTGGGATTTGTCCCAGGAGTTTCTAGTAAGGCTGAAAGATTTTTTTTTTTTAACTTTTTATTGTGATTTGGGTGAGAATTTGCAGAGCAAATTGGTTTTACATTCAATAATTATATACGTTTTGATTCGTGACACTGGTTGCCATCTCCGCAATGTCCCAGCACTCTTCCCACTTCCTGTGTTTACCGTTTCCATTCGTCCTCCTTTCCCATCCCTTTCGGTCTTCTGAGTTTAATCTCTGAGCAAATGCTGCCCTCTTGATCTCAAATGGTTGATTGTTCTAAGTCGTGTGTACCTCCCTTGTGTTACTGTTCACTTTACAGACCTGTTATCTGGCTGAAATTGAGCTGCAAGGATCAGCTCAGTTCTAGGCTTGATGAGTGTCTAACGGCCATAGTCTTAGGGGTTCCATCAGTCTGTATCTGATCTTTTTTAGTATTTTTTTTGTTCCACACTTTTCTCCCACTCTATCCTGGATCTCCTATTGTGATCCCTTTCAGAGTGGTCAGCAGTGGCCACTGGCTGGCACCAGCTAGTTCTTCTGGTCTCAGGGTCACGGAGGCTGGAGTTCACATGGTCTGTTAGTCATTTGGACTAATTGTTGCCATTAGTCTTTGATTTCCATTGCTCTTCTTTGTTAAAGATGGGGAGAGACCAATATTTGTGTCTTAGATGGCCACTCACAAGCTTTTAAGACCTCCTTTGTTAATCATCAAAGTTGGATGTAGAACATCATCTTTGTGGACTATGATATGCCAATTGACCTTGATGTCTCCCAAGGCTATGGTCTTGAGTCCCCAGGCTCAGCGACTCCTTGAAGGTATTTGGTTATTTGGTTTATGGCTAAAAAGTTCTGGGGCTGAAGGATTTAGATACATTGAGGAGAAGGCCTGCCCGCATATGTTCTGAGAAAAGCAAATACTATCAGCAGATAGAAGTAGAAGGAGATGGGACCAGAGGATACCCAAGGTACCCTTTATTATATTGAGGAATTTCCTTTCTATTCCTATTCCTATTTCAACATCAGAGGTGTTGAAATTTGTCAAATCCTTTTTCTGCATCACTTTAGATTATCATGTGGTTCTCTTTGTTGTTGTCCTATTAGTGTGTATCACATTGGCTGATTTTCTAATGCTGAACCACTGTTGCATTCCTGGGATAAATCCCAGTTGACCATGTGGTACACTGTTGGACTCAGCTTGCCAGTACTTTGTTGAGTATTTTTACATCTATATTCATAAGGGTCATTGGTCTGTAGTTTTCCTGTGGTGTCTTTGGCTTTGGTATCAGAGTAACACTGGCTTAACAGAATGAGTTATGGTGTATCCTTTCCTCCTCTACTTTTTAAAACAGTTTGAGTAGGAGTGGTGTCAATTCATCTTTAAAGATTCCGTAGAATTCCCCAGTGACACTTTTATGGTTGTTTCTGTTTTTTGTTGGCCCAGGACTTTTTTTGTTGTTCTCGGGAGGTTTTTGATTACTGTTTCAATATCTTCACTGGTTGCAGGTCTGCTGAGATCTTCTATTTCTTTTTGAATCAGTTTAGGTAGATTATGTGTTCTTGGGAATTTGTCGATGTCATCTAATTTATCACATTTGTTGGCCTAAAATTCTTCATAATATTCTTTAATGATCACTTTTGTTTCTATCAGTCAGTTTTACCATCTCCATTTTCATTTATTATTTTACTTATTTATTTTTTTTGCATTTTACATTTTTAACCAAAGAAACCAAACTCATTGCCCTCAAGTCAGATCCAACTCACAGCAACCCCTCCTTGGGTTTCGAGGCAGTATCACTACAGAAGTAGATTGCCTAATCTTCCTTTACAGTTTATGTATTATTTTGTTTTACTATTTTCCTTTACCAGGCTAGCTAAATGATTGATGATTTTATCAATCTTTTCAAAGGACTGATTTCTGGTTTTGTTGATTCTACTTAATGTTTTGCTATTGTCTATTTCATTTATTTCTGCTCTGGTCTTTGTTATTTCCTTACTTTTGGTAGGTTTAATTTGCTCTTCTTTTTCTAGTCCTTCAAGTTGTAAAGGCAGGCTATTGATTTGAGATCTTTCTTCTTTTTAAATATAAGTGTTTATTGCTATAAATTTCCCTCTTAACACTGCCTTCACTATAATCCACAGGTTTTGGTAGTTTGTGTTTTCATTTTTGTTTGACCCTACGTATTTTTTCTCTCTTGATTTCTTCTTTGACCCGTTGGTTATTTAATAATATATTGTTTAGTCTCCACGTATTTGTATGTTTTGCTTCTGCTATTAATTTCTAGTATTATTTCCTTATGGTTGGAGAAGACACTTTTGTGATTTTAATCATTTTTAATTTACTCAGATTTGTTTGTGACCTAGCCTACTTGCCAAACTACATCATTACATAACCACCAAACCACTGAGAATCATGGTTGAGCCAAACTGACATAACCTTAACCATTATAGCTGGAGTTAGTCTTGCCTCACATCTCAGCATTCATTAGTGCCAGATATACACTGTTAATGCACAAAACAGTTGGATAGATTTTTTTACTATTGTCATATGTGCAGAATGTTGGATAACAAGGTAGTTGACAATGAAGAGAATGTGGATACAAGTAGTTGAGAGGGTCAGAATTTTAGATCTGTTACCACAGCCATCTTCCTGAAAGTCTCTTGCCAGATGTCCTTATACAAAATCTCATTTGATGTTTACAACAACCCTGAAAGGTAGGATTTACTAACCTTTGTTATAGATGAGAATGCCCAGACCTAGAGATATGAAACGACTCGTTCAAGGTGGTGCAGCTTGCAGTGGTGAAGCCGGAATTCCGGTCTGGGCCTGAGTTCAGTACTATCACCTCATACGTCCTTGAGTCTGGCGGCAATGAGGGGAATGGATCAAAGGGTCGGGCCTGGACAGGGATGGAGAGGAGCGAATAAAATGACAGAGATGTAGGATGCATGTAGAGACTGCATTTAAATTGAGGAATGTGAGAAGTCAGTGCTTCTGGGTTAAGCCACTGGGTGGGTGGCGGTACCATTTACTGAGGTGGGAAATGTAGGATAATGATTCGCAGGAAGATGGAGAATTTGGCTTTGGTCATTATGAGCTGGCAGGGCTTAAGCAGGGAGGGGCAGTTGTCCTGAGGCAATGAGATACAGAGACAAGATCAGAAGGCAGCTCTGGGCTGTGGTGGATGTAGGAAACTTCAGTGTCATCTTGAGTCCTGGTTCCTTCTTATCAACAGAAAAGGGGCTGAGTCTAGGTTTGGGATAGTTACATGGGACCAGGGTGGAGTTACGTTAATGTCAAATGACTTCTGGCTCACCCCTAACTTGGTTTTCCCCACAGATGGCCTTTCCCTGCCACAGGTCTGCGAACCTCAAGACTCTGGTCTTCCTTCTAGTGGGCCTGGGTTTCTTGGCAATGCATCTGTGGTTCCTGCAGACCCAGAGGTCCCAGCAGGAGGAGGCGTGGGATCTCCCAATGGATGCTCCTGCTGCTGCTGTTGCTGAGCCCTCTGCGCTCAACCCAGGGCGCCCGTGTGTGCTAAACGCTTCTGTGAACGCCACGCCCGACTTCGAGCAGCTGCCCGCCCGGATCCAAGATTTCCTGCGGTACCGCCACTGCCGCCACTTTCCGCTGCTCTGGGACGCGCCGGCCAAGTGCGCGGGCCGCCGGGGCGTCTTCCTGCTCCTGGCCGTGAAGTCGTCCCCTGAGAACTACGAGCGGCGCGAGCTCATCCGCCGTACTTGGGGGCAGGAGCGTAGCTACCGCGGCCTGCCAGTGCGCCGCCTCTTCCTTCTGGGCACGCCGCCGCCCGAGGCCCGCGAGCGCTCCGAGCAGCTGGACGCGCTGGTGGCCCTGGAGGCCCGCGAGCACGGCGACGTACTGCAGTGGGCCTTCGCCGACACCTTCCTCAACCTCTCGCTCAAGCACGTGCACCTGTTGGACTGGGTTGCAGTACGCTGCCCACAGGCGCGCTTCCTTCTCAGCGGCGACGACGATGTCTTCGTGCACACGGCCAACGTGCTGCGCTTCCTGGAGGCGCAGACGCCCAGCCGCCACCTCTTCACCGGGCAGCTCATGGACGGCTCCGTGCCCATTCGCGACAGCTGGAGCAAGTACTTCGTGCCCCCGCAGCTCTTCCCCGGGCAGGCCTACCCGGTGTACTGCAGCGGCGGCGGCTTCCTCCTGTCCAGCCACACGGCCCAGGCCCTGCGCAAGGCTGCCCAGCGCACGCCCCTCTTCCCCATCGACGACGCTTACATGGGCATGTGCCTGCAGAGCGCCGGCCTGGCGCCCAGCGGCCACGAAGGCATCCGGCCCTTCGGCGTGCAGCTGCCCGGCGCCCGCCAGCCCTCCTTTGACCCCTGCATGTACCGCGAGCTGCTGCTCGTGCACCGCTTCAGGCCCTACGAGATGCTGCTCATGTGGAAGGCGCTACACGATCCCGGGCTGAGCTGTGGCCCAGCACACAGGGTCTCCTGAGGCCGAGTGAGCAGCAGGGTTCAGCCCCTGGGCCTCCGTATGTGATGTCTTCCCTGCTGAGAACGGGCCTTTCCCACTCTGGATACCTCTCTCCTACGGAGCTCAGTGGATCTGACTTTCCACTACATACTGAAATCACGTGAGGAAGGGGGATAAAGCATACCGATGCCCTGGCCCCATCCCCAGAGATTCTAGATTCTATTAGACTAAAGTGGTCCCAGGCATTTGGATATTTTTTTAAAGTTCCCCAGGTGATTTTAGTGGGCAGCCAGGATTGAGGACCACTTCAACAGCTCGTCTGTCCGTCCTTCCAAACCCACCTCCACTGTCCCTTCTCACCCACCTCAGTGCCACCTCTGTTGCCCCCTTAGGCTGGACCCTACAGACAATCATTGCCTATTTAAGGAGCTATTCACCATTTGATCGTGAGCTTCTCAGAGGTAGACAGAGCACCTGGCCTAGTTCATTCTACAGCAGAGTGGACACTTGAGCATTGTGGGCCCTAGTACAAGGGAGGTGTGAAGGGTCAGAACCAAATGTCACCTGTCGAATGTAGTACACGTATAAGGAGTTGTCATTTCTTCAGCAGACAGGTTCATCTGGAACTGAGCTGATGATCAGCAGATGGATCCCCCTCCCAGAAGACGTTCTAACCTGGGGACCTAAAAAGCCATACCCATGGTATCAGGTCCCTGGCAGCCTTCCTCCACCCAGCACCAGATCTTCCCCTACCCTCAGAATCCCTGGGAGGTCAATCTCTCCACTGTGCAAAGTGGAAACCTATAGCCTAGTCCAGTCTAGACAAATCCAGGGTTGTGTGGTCATTTTCAGGCAACAAACCCGTGCAGCCCCTCCATGCTCACCCTTGCCCACAGCCAATGGCCTATTTGGATCCAGGCAATGTAGACCTGACTTGCCAGCATGCACTCCCAAGAGCAAAGACCTGGACCTTGCCAGAGTCTGGGTGTCAGGGTCAGTCAGACTTGGAGAGCCAAGCTGGGGGTTAAGAGGAGGTCAGCATGGCGGTTCTGTGAAAGGTGAAGCCTGGGAGTCTGTCAGTGTTTGGAAAACCTGTAGAGTCATGCATAGAACTCTGTTTGGGTGTGGGACCTCATTAGAAACCATGTAGGACAATGATTAGGGAGTGTGTGGGAACTGGAGTGGCTGTGGTAAATAGTAATTAGGCTGAGAGGTCAGTTATTGGGGAGGCCAAGCTGGGGTGTATGGCTGGGGGGCTAGGGGGTCATTGATGAAGCCTGAGGATCAGCACTGTGGTCCTGGGCTTCCGGAGTTTGACAACGTAGGAAAATCAAGGAAACAGCTTAAGGGTGAGGCAGAAAGATCCCAATTGTGTAAGATGGACAAGAACGACTCCCCATCAAGGACGAAAGAGCCTGAGCAAGAAATTGGAAGACCTTCTCCTGCTCTTAGAACAAAATTCAGACTCCTCAGCCTGGCACTTAAGGATCCTGCAAACTGGCTGTTACTTATCTCTCCGTCCTAGCCCCCCATCCCCACCCAGGCCTCCCCACCTTGGACTCAATCCAGGCAGAACCGTCCACCGGTGTCTCTGCTCTGTCAGGCTTCCCCCTCCCTCTGCATCTGCATAAGCTCTGATCCCTTTACCCCAAATGTCCTCCAGCCACCAACACTGTCCATGTCTCTTGTATCAATTAGGATGCCTGTGGCAGAGGCTGCTAACTGCCTATCAAAATCTGTTAACCCCTTTCCTCTTGGGAACAAACTTAGACTGTATTTACCAGTACCCCTTGTAGTTAAGTGTGACCACATGGCCAAGTTCTCTTCAGTGGAAGAAGCAGATACCTTGAGGACTTCTGGACCCTGCCTGCCTGTCTGTGCTCACTTTCTCCTTCCCCTGAGTTGGAACACAGATAGGCCTATGATGCAGCTGTGACCTGGCAGATGAGGACAACACCCTAGGCCTAAGCCAGCCTTCTCAGTGTCAGCACTAGTAGCATTTGGGGCAGGATCACTCTTTGTGGTGAGGTCTTGCCTGTGCATTGTAGGATGGTCAGCAGCATCCTTGTCCTCTACCCATTAGCCTATAGTACACACCAAGTCAGGACAATGAAAAATCTCTCCAGCATTGCCAAATATACCCTGGTAGGCAAATTCAGCCCCTGGCTGCAAACCACTTGCCTGTTTAAGGGGCCATTTCCCACTTGATCCTGAGCTCCTGAGAGGTCGAGAAAGCAAAGGATGGCAGAAAAACAAGGTCTCCGAGTTACTGAGTGGAACAGAGATGCCCACTACTGGACAGGAATGCTCAGATTATTGTGGAAGAACAAAATAAACATTTTTGTTTTCTGAGCCTCTGGATTTCTGTTAGCTTTCTATTGCAGCAGCCTTGCTTTACTCTAGGTAACCCTCTCTGTTCCCCTGTTTCTCCCCAATTAGACTGGTTACTCCCAGAGGGATCGTCTGACTCTCATTGGTGCTGGCATGGATTTATTGAGAAGGAACCAATAAAAGTCTCAGCATCCCTACTTTGGGAACTTGAGCTGGTTGTTTCACCTCTGAGCATCTTCTTCTACAGTGATGACCCATGTCAGAGGCCCAGTGGGAGGGCCCTGTCATTCTGCATGCTTCTGCATGCACGTCATTCTCTGCTCCGGGAGGTCGAAAAAGGCAGGAGGAGGAAGCACTACCTAATTGACCTTTCTTTCTGTAGCCCCTGCCCGGGATACATGGTGGCCATGGCCATTTGCCCATTGCTGGCCATGCTTCTAAGCAGGGCCTGGCTCACAGCAAGAACTTCATAAATGCTTTGGGGTGAATGAATGAATAGATGAGTGCCCATCTGTCCCAATGGTGTAACTGTATCTGTTAAACAATGCAACACACTGCCGTAGAGTTGGATCCAACTCATAGAGACTCCTCCTTGGGTTTCTGAGGCAGTATCACTATGGAAGTATATTGCCCAACCTTCCTTCTGAGGAGTGGCTGGTGGATTTGAACTGCCAGCCTTCTAGTTAGCAGTCAAGTGCCTTAGGCACTATGCCACTGTGTCTGTTAAGATACTATATATGTTCTTACTGCTACTATAAAAAATTAGTGGCTTAGTGGCAACACCAAATGTATTATCTTAACAACTCTAGAGGTCAGAATCCAAAATGGGTCTTACTGGGTGGGCCAAAATAAAAATGTTGGCAGGTCTGAGTTCCTTCAGGAGGCTCTTGGGTAAATCCATTTCCTTTCCTTTTCCAGCTTTTAGA